ATAGTAGTCAGTATACAATGCTTTATTACGAGATTGTATTAAGGATTATTGAGATGGAGTCTCGTATTACTAATTAAGAGAATGATCATGAATTTATAAATTAGAATTTATCTCTACGAGCAAAATCACAAAAACAACTTATATTTAAAATAGATAATATCATAGAAATTCATGATTTCTAACCCAACAGGGTAATAATATATTCAAGAGTAAAAAATTATGGTACTAGAGTTCAACTCTTTTTAATTTTGAAAATGTGTGGGAGGAGGGAAGAAGAAACAAGAAAGCAATTGGAACCAATCTTTTTCTCTCTCTTGGGTTTTCCCTCTAGGAAAGTTTGAATTCAAATTCAGTTGGTCTATGGGGCTTCATTTAATATCCACTTTTACAACGGCCCCTTTTCCTTTCAACGTCTCTTTCTCCCTTCAAATTGCCCTTTACCATACTCCTCTTCCAAGGTTCACAATTCAATCGCTACATTCGTCTTCTCTCAAATCATTCCTCCAATCCTTCACCGGATTGCTTCTATCTACTTCAGGTTCACTTTCAAATCCTCGTCTACCACATATGGATGTTCTTTTAATTTCTTGATAATCCAGCATGACCCATTAGGTTAATTCGCTTCAATCATGTTCTTTTAGTAGTTCGAACACATTGAGCTGATTTGTACATAACTTTTTCCATGTGCTTGGCGAGTGCAAGTAGAAATGGGTTCAATCATTTCGTCTCGAATTTTGTTGGTTATGCGGAATTTGACTGTCCCATTTCCGTTCTTAGCAAATATTTTAACAAATTGTAATTTGATGCTGTAGACAATTTGGGGTTCTTGAAATTTGATTCCTTTGTTAGTATGTTTCTCTAATTGTTGTTTATTGTAGATTTGGCCTTGTTTCGTGAAATCTCTTCATGATGTCTGTCACTCAAAATGATCCACTTCTGCAAGTGGAAACCACGTGTGGTTCACTTCTTTATGAACTTCAGGTTTGTCTCGAACTTCAATCTCTTTGTTGATGCTTATCTTATTCTGTACATAACATTTTTGAATATCAGATAATATGGGATGAAGTTGGTGAATGTGAAGCTGAAAGAGATAGAATGTTGCTTGAGCTTGAACGAGAGTGTTTAGAGGTTTACAGAAGGAAAGTTGATCAAGCAAACCATTCCAGAGCTTATCTGAGACAAGCGATTGCAGATTCTGAAGCGCAACTTGCTGCCATCTGTTCTGCATTGGGAGAGCCGCCAGTTCATATAAGACAGGTAAGTGGAGGAGTAGCAGATTCAAACAACTTCAATTTCACTTCTGCAAACTCTGAAGTTATTGGTTTATGATTTCCCCTTCCAGTCTGATCAAAAGGCTGTGAGCTTGAAAGATGAACACGAGCAAATTCTTCCCCAACTGGATGAAATGCGGAAGCGCAAATCCGAGAGAAGCAATCAATTTCTTGTTGTCCTAGAGGAAATACAAAAGATTTCAGATGAGTTAAATGGGTATGAACATTCAGTGTCAAAGATATTGTTGGATGAAACTGATCTGTCGTTGAAGAAGCTTGATGAATTGAACAGACAGCTTCATGCACTCCAGCAAGAGAAGGTTGGTTAATTGTGTTAAAAAATTCTAACCTGTAATTAATTTGAACACTATTCTGATTAATGAACTTATTTCTTGTTATAGAGTGATCGGATGAAGCTGGTTTATACACACATGCGTGCTTTGGATTCGCTTTGTTTAGTCCTGGGTATGGATTCCAAACAGATAGCCATTGAAGTTCATCCAACTTTGGGTGATTTTGAAGCACCAACAAATATAACTATCAACACCATCGAGAAGTTGGCTGCAATGATTGAAAAACTGCGAGAGATCAAAATTCAAAGAATGCAGAAGGTAAAACGTTTCTCTGGTCTTCAAATCTTAGTAATGCAATGGTTCTGTAGTAACCCTTTATTCATGCAGCTTCAAGATCTTGTTCATACATTGCTAGACCTGTGGAACCTAATGGATACTCCAGCTGAAGAACAACAGATGTTTCAAAATATAACTTGCAACATCGCAGCTTCAGAACACGAAATTATTGAACCTGATGCTCTCTCTGTTGACGTTATCACATATGTGAGTGATTTGGAATAAGGAAGATTTGTGTCATTATTTTACTTTAGTTTTGACTTGTATTCGTCATGATTGTGTCATGCAGGTTGAAGGAGAAGTCTCCAGATTGGATGAGTTGAAGTCGAGCAGAATGAAAGAACTTGTGCTCAAGAAGAGATTGGAGCTAGAAGAGATGTGTATGAAGCTGCATATGCTACCAGCAGAAGATTCTGCTATTGAATATGTTATTGATGCAATAGATTGTGGTATATTACGGTCATGAACTTCATTGTGCTAACGTTTATTTATATGGCTTTGTTGTTCCATTCTTATTCTGTGCGTTTATCTTTCCAATGCAGGAACTCTGGACCCTGCTTGTGTCCTTGAACAAATTGAAAATCAAATCCTTAAGGTCAAAGAAGAAGCTTTTGACAGGAACGAGATCCTTGAGAAAGTGGACCGATGGTTGGCTGCATGCGAAGAGGAGTGCTGGCTTGAGGAGTATAATAGGGTTACTCTCTGAACTCTCCCATAATTTATCCCTTCAAGATGTATGGTGAGATTTCACTCTCACGTCTATTGGAGAGGGAAACGAAACATTTTTTATAAGGATGTGGAAACCTCTTCATATCATATGCGTTTTAAATATTTGCTAGTGGTGTACATGTACGTACATGGCCGGCACACATATATCTTGATCACACACCATCATACTGCTAAATACATTTTCATTTTGAGTTTTTTTTTTCTAACTTGTTCAGGATGAAAACCGGTATAATGCGGGAAGAGGAGCTCATCTTACTCTTAAACGTGCTGAGAAGGCTCGGGCATTGGTTAACAAACTTCCAGGTAAACACTATCGGCTCGGGCATTGTAATTTCCATTTTTGACTATCTTTTTCGTGTAGCTTAGTGATTAAATCCTTGCAGGAATGGTTAATGCTTTGACTTCAAAAACCATGTCATGGGAAAAGGAAAGAGGCATTGAATTCACCTATGATGGCGTAAGTACATTTTGATGAATGGTTCATGCATGATTTATACGAGTGCTATTAATTGTCCCATATGTGTAGGTTCGCCTTCTCTCAATGCTTGAAGAGTACAAAATTTTAAGACAAGAGAAAGAGCAAGAACTCCGCAGGCAGCGGGTAAGATCTTTCAAATTTACCAGCTTTTGGACATTTTCATGTTTAAAATGCATCCCTCTTGATGATTGCTGTCATTTCAATTTTACCCTTTAGGACCAGAAGAAACTCCAGGGGCAGCTAATGGCCGAACAGGAGGCACTTTATGGGTCAAAGCCTAGCCCATCAAAGCCTCAGAGTGTGAAAAAAGGTCCTAGAATGTCTACTGGCGGTGCTGGTGCTGCTGGCAGTCGGAGATTTTCCCTTGGAGGAGCATTGCTTCAAACTCCGAAGCCTGATCCTCATAAAGGCCTCCGACCAGGCAGAAAAAGTGATAGAGGACACCAAAACAACCAAACTTTTCACCTTGATGAGGGATTTGTTGAAGCTTTATCTGCTGCTGGTATGACTCTTAACTGACAAGCTTCTTGCCAATTCTGTCCTGGTTGATATGGATTGTTGTCTAGAGATGATAGCATTTTTTCCCTGAATGGTTGAATTCCCATGTGTTTTAAAGGTAGGAGAGGCTTGGATGTTCCTGGTCTCCCTGTAAAGAAGCATTCATCAAGTGTCGACGCTAGTGAAGCAGAATCACCAATGGTGGTTCGAAAGCCTTTTGCTCCCGTTCCTATTGCTGGCGCGCTTTTCTCCAACTCAATGAATTCGTCGAATTCATTGAATGATCTCAGTGAGAAGTTGCAGAAAGTGAATCTGTCCTCCAAGACACCTATAAAGACAATTTCAATATCAGAGGAAGATATCAGGACACCAAAGATGATGCCTATCCCAGTGCCATCCACACCTTCTACCGTGTCAGTTCCAATGCAGACAGCCATAACACCAGCTCCTCCACGGCCCATTGATCTTACTGCTCGCATTAGTGAGGACATTTCTGAAGTCATTGAATACTCGTTTGAGGAAAGAAGAGCTGGCTTTGCGCTTCCCAAACCGCCGCTGCTCATCAAGTCAATGATACAAGTTTGATACAGTACAACGAAATTTCTTGTTTCCTCTTTCCAAAGTCAATTCTAATTGGCTCTTACCGGATTTGTGTACATAAAACCCTGTATTGAAGGGTTAAGTCCTCAGTCCTCACTTGTGCTGGTTTAATGTAATATTGTGCTTGATAATTGGTACATTGGAGGAGTCCATTAGGCTTCTCTATGATTCTTGCTATCTAGTGATTGTTTCAAGATTAACCATGGCCGCCATTGGCTAGCTAATAGGTCGAGCAGCATCGTAAGAGCCCAAATGATAGCCTTTATAGACTTGGTTCCCTTTTTTGTATCAACACATTGCTGAATTTGAGTGAAGGTTTTGAATTTATTTTCGAGGCTTTTTATGTACCTGTTGGATGATGAAAGTCCCACATCGACTAATTTAGAGAATGATCATGGGTTTATAAGTGAGAAATACTAACTTTGGTATGAGGCCTTTTGGAGAAGCCCAAAGCAAAGCCATGAGAGTTTATGTTCAAAGTGGACAATATCATACCATTGTGAAGAGTATAATAGTTCCATCTTTGTATTATTTCTAATTTTTACATCTTCCAATTTCATTTTATTTTAACCTAAACGAAAATTTATGTAAAAAATCGGTGATTAAAAAACTTTGACCCTTGGATGAAGAGTGCGCTCCAATCTTCCTCCTTGGGCTGGCACGTGGCAAGCCTTGCTAGGAAATAAATCTCATCCTTCCACATCACCCCTACTTTTCCCTATTCGACGGTCCCAGTATGCTTCACGACAGAATTTGTCACCACGCACGACTATTTATATTCTTTCATTGCGCGCCATTGGCGTAATTTTATCGGGGAAAATTGTGGAGAAAGACAAGTAAGACGAAGGGGGGAGTAAGTTTGAACTCAGTATGGCAACGATCGAGATCGTCAAAGCCCGTCAAATTTTTGATAGTCGTGGAAATCCTACTGTCGAAGTGAGTTTTAACTTCCTCTGGATCAATCCGTCGAAAATGTCTTACCGGAATTGTTACCTGTTATTCTACAATCGTCTTGTTGGTTTTTAGCCTAACATTGGTTGCATTGTGTTTTTTTTTTTTCCCTGAGAAATGTGAGAATAGAAAGAGATTGTGAACCTATTGCGGTTATCGATTGCTGTAACTGACCGTGTACATATAGATTCCTTGGCGTGAGTGTTGTACAGAGTTTGGGAAAATTTGAATGTGGAAGTTAGTGTGATCGCTATTGTAAATGATTGTTTGGTGTTTTTTTGTTTGTTGATTTGAATTTGGTTTCAGGTTGACATAACTCTTACTGATGGAACGCTGGCCAGAGCTGCTGTTCCGAGCGGTGCTTCTACCGGTAAATCGATAGTGTTTGTTTATCCAACTGATTGAAAGTAATTATTCACGGTTTGACCTTTTCTGGATATAGATGAAGAATGTATGATAGGTGATGTCTCAATCGGTAGGTCGTTAGTGCTTGTATATCGAAGAAAAGTAGATGCTACGAAATTTATTAAAAATGTACTTACCCTACGTGAAAATTTTGAGAGGCGACCATTACATTTGTCTTGGAAACTTATTAAACATCTTCTGAGTATGCTTTAAAAAACTGAAACCACTGCAGCAAGCTTAAGTATAGACATCTTTGAGGTCATGAGTTCAACTTCAAACAATTGTAACCATATACCTTCAAGTTTCTCCTCAATGAATTTTGCAAGGTCTAACAGTGATCCAAATGAGATTAGTAGAAAATTTGGTCAGAACATTCAATATGACTAATAAACAAAATGAAGGAAAACACAAATCCTTAAGACAGGGTATCATTTCATCTCTGCACGTATGTATTGTATGTTTATCGTCACCTATAGTTGTTAGATTTCATGATTATCCCTTGTGCCCATTGATATAGTTGTATGAATGTCCTGTGCAAAAAAATGGTTTAAACATTTCGTTTATACTTCATAGTTTTAACTATCCATATTTTATTGACTGAAGGTATCTATGAAGCTCTTGAGCTGAGAGATGGTGGGTCTGCCTACCTTGGAAAGGGAGTACTTGAGGTTTGTATGGTAAAATCGGATATTTAAGTGAATCCTCCAGTGTTTGTTGTTAGAAACTTAGGAAATAACATTTTCCAAAGAAACATGTACTTTTTTTTCTTGCATGTAAGACATTTGCTATGATTGGAGGGAGAAAAACTATGCAGCAACTTTTTTCCTCTTGCATACAAGACTATTTGTGTTTGCGTGTTTTAAAGTTGCCTAATGTGACTGCATGACTTGATTTAGGCTGTGGAAAATGTAAATTCAATCATTGGACCTGCTTTAATTGGCAAGGTAAAAGCAATAATTTCATTAGCATTTTTTTTTCTACTGTCAGTGAATATGAGTGAAGTTTATACAGTTCATCCAATTTTCTGTGGCATTACCAAGGACCCAAGAGAGCAGACAAAACTAGACAATTTTATGGTGTGGCAACTTGATGGGACCGTCAATGAATGGGGTTGGTGCAAACAGAAGGTATTATGTTGAACCATTTAGGTTGATGTCTCCAATGTTATGCTAACTTAGGCCAACGGGATTTTCCCTCTTCATTCTCACAGCTTGGAGCAAATGCTATACTGGCAGTCTCCCTTGCTATTTGTAAAGCTGGTGCTGCAGTGAACAAGATACCCCTCTATAAGGTATTTGTAGTCTCACGTGGTTTTAGAAGAGGGAATTCGTTTTTATTTTTTCTTCTTTTTTTTTTTACTAGTCTTATATCGTCACTTGTCTTTCTTGTAACTTCTAGCACATTGCCAAGCTTGCTGGGAATAAGAAGTTGGTTCTTCCGGTCCCTGCATTCAACGTCATTAATGGAGGTTCTCATGCAGGCAATAAGCTAGCCATGCAGGTAATATGGTTTTGATATATTTTCCCTTTTTGATAGATTAGGTGCTTTACTTTGGACCTTTGTGTTATTTTTCTGGTATGTAGGAATTTATGATTCTCCCTGTTGGAGCATCTTCTTTTAAGGAAGCTATGAAAATGGGTGTGGAAGTCTACCATCACCTCAAGGTTGTTTGCAATCCCCTTGTACCCCAGTTTTCTAAATTTAGTAATACAAAGCGGTTGTTGTATCAATGTATTTCTGTCTGTCTGCTTTTCAGGCTGTAATAAAAAAGAAATATGGACAAGACGCTACTAATGTTGGTGATGAAGGCGGTTTTGCCCCTAATATTCAGGTCTTAGAAACATTAGCCTACGGCATATTGTTATTTTCAAAGTTGGAGTTTTCAATGAGTATTTGGCTGTTGATGTTTTTCTCTTCTTTCTTTAGTCCATTCCTCTTTTCCTTTATGGTTGGAGGGAAAGGTTTGTGATCGGACAAAAACGCAGATTCTAGTCAGATAGTTTCCTTCACCATTAGTCATTTATGACTTATGATTGGTGTTTTTTATATCACCATGCACACTACCGAGTGGTTAATATTGATTTATATAAATTTCAGGAGAATAAGGAGGGTCTTGAACTCTTGAAGGTTGCTATAGCGAAAGCTGGATACACTGGAAAGGTGCTCTCCTTTTGTCTTTTTTATTAACGTATCGAATAATATATTTCCTGATAGTACCTAGGTCCAAGTCCTTGATTATACTATTTTGCCACTTCTAGGTTGTGATTGGAATGGATGTAGCTGCTTCAGAATTTTATGATAACAAGGCCAAGACCTACGACCTGAATTTTAAGGAAGAGGTATTTGACTGTTGGCTGGTCATGGTTCACGTATTGTTCATGTTACACATTAGCCTGATGATAGATTTTGCTGCAGAACAATGATGGATCAGAAAAAATTTCTGGAGACAGCTTGAAGAATGTCTACAAGTCATTTGTGACAGATTATCCTATTGTGTCCATTGAAGATCCATTCGATCAGGATGATTGGGAGAATTACGCGAAGCTGACTAGTGAAATTGGCCGGCAAGTCCAGATAGTTGGAGACGACCTCTTGGTTACCAACCCAAAGGTCTTAAATGTTTTAATCATCATGTACATTCTGGTTTTCTGAATCAACATTCTGACATTATCTTGCATCTTGTAACAATTGCAGCGTGTAGAGAAAGCTATCAAGGAGAAGGCATGTAATTCCCTTCTCTTGAAGGTAATCACTCCACCTTTTCTTCCTCATAAGTATCCATTTTCCCTCTTATTTTGCTTAACTTTCTTTTGGCAGCTATCTGTTTGTTACCATGTTTTAGTGCTCAAGTAATTTGCAGTATATTCATAATGTTGAGATTCTTATGATATATTGATCAGGTAAATCAAATTGGTTCAGTGACTGAAAGTATTGAAGCAGTCAAGTTGTCTAAGCACGCTGGTTGGGGTGTTATGGCAAGCCATAGAAGGTATGCTACGTTTCATTGCATAGTCATCTCCCCTTTTTTTTTTTCTTTTTTTTCTTTTCTTTAATTGCATGTTATAATCTCTTTCACCCAGCCTCCATGTACTATTGATTATATTTTTCTCCTTTTTGTGCAATTTAGTGGGGAAACTGAGGATACGTTCATTGCAGACCTTTCAGTTGGCCTGTCAACAGTAAGTGTTAACAATTCCCCCATGATTGAAACTCTGTAGTTTTACCTGTAAATTTGTTCGTAGAATTATTGTTACTGTATAAGCATGCCCCGCTCCCTGTATAGGCATATTGCTCACGCTGTGAGTGATGATATTTCTTATGGAATTTTAATCCAACATGTAGCCTTTTGAAGGAGAAAGTAACATTTATGTGCATTTTTTACTTGTTTTTTTAAAATTATGCTTACTTTCATTTTTGAACTCTACCAAATTCCAAAAACAAAAACAAGTTTTTAAAATTTAGTTCTTTTAGTTTTCAAAATTTGGCTTGGATTTTGAAAATATTTCTAAAACAAAGTACATAATGAAGTTAATATGTAAAATTGATGATTATAAGTTTAAAAAACCAAATGATTATCAGAAAGATCTTATATTTAATGGTTTCATCATTATCCAGTTGGTCATATTTAAATATCATTTCTTTGTTTGAGGTGGTACCAATCAAATATACTAACGTTTACAAAGCATTGGTTGTAAATCTTTGTTTATGTGTGTGCATATTGAGTTTTTTAAATTATCTTCAATTCCTTGACGGTCATTTGAATGTTTCCCAAACTGCAAAACAGGGTCAGATTAAGACTGGTGCACCCTGTAGATCTGAGCGCCTAGCCAAATATAACCAGGTGAATATTATTAGTATCTAAATTTCTTTAAAGGTTATTAGTTCTAGAAGTTGAAATTTAGTATCCATATTTTCAGTAAATCTTAAAATTAGGGTATTGTAACCTTTATTTAATTATTGTCTGCTTACAATAACAAAACCTACAACTAAATAGGACTTTTTTTATGATTTGACCACCGGTTGACCTGTTTTTTCAATTGTGATCTTTGCTTCTCCAACATTCATACAGCTCAAATTTGGGCGCTTGTAACACAATCAACTGCTTTCTTTCTTTTTTTCCTGCAGCTCCTAAGGATAGAAGAAGAGCTCGGACCAGCTGCAATTTATGCTGGATCAAAATTTCGATCACCAGTGGAGCCTTATTGAGATTTTAATCATGAGAAAGCAACCACTTCACTATGTTGATGATTTTGTATGGAACATATGAAATGAACTTTTTTCTGGTAGCAGGGAGGTGATGAGGTGCTCTACGCATGTTATCTTAGACTAGATTTAATCTCGATTATCTCTTTTACTAGAAATGCTGTGATTTTCTAGCCTGCTTCTTTCTGTTTCTATCGTCTTCTTTTTCATTACTTTTTTATTATTATCATTATTATTATTTTCCTTTTCCTGGAAGAAATCACTTGGAGAGCCTCTAACTCCTAGGTCCATCTATGGAAGATTTTATCCTAGGAAGGGCCATTTCACTTGCAGGAACTTGCTGGTCGTTACCTTTACATTTTAGATGTGCTATGATGAGATGTCAATCCGGTAATTCTTTTATTATATTGCTACAGCTACTCCGACCTGATCAAATGAATTATTGCATTCATTAGGTAAAAATATTTTTTCTTTTGGTACAACGTGAGATCACTTTGGCATAGGTAAATTGATTTAACTCAACAATACAGTAAAAAAAAAAACAGAATTAATAAGAATTGCCGATTTTTGGCAATAAATAATAGAAAGAAAACGGCAAGTTGTTACTACGATATTCCCGCCATTTTTCTTTTTGAATTCCTGTGTTCTTAGGAGAATGAAAAACATTAAAGCAATAAACAAAATACTTGTCTATTGATCAAGTGGTATCTCAAATCAGAATAAATAATAAAACTTGATAGGTTCACTTCAATTTTGAGACTGATGGCAACTAAAAAAATGGAGACAAAATTTTGATTTAGAAATACTTATCCTCTAATATACATATTGTGGATGATGCAATTCAGCGGACACCAACCAGTTCAACATCGAAAGTAAGCCAAGAATTCGGCGGAATCTTCCCACCAGCTCCCGCAGCCCCATAACTGCATCCACCAATACAATCATCTTTATAAAAAGAAATCAAACAAATGTAATTCTAATGAAATTAAAGATCGTATCGTCGCAAATTAAGCATACACATGAACAGTAGCTGCGGGCACCAAAATTACGTTAACCTGACTACAAATATCATTACCATATCTGAGTGTTCAGTATACCCTCCTTTTGTTTTTCTAAATTATTATTGTTAGTTTTCTCACCAGTTTTTTTGTATAAACATAATTAAGAAAACAAGACTATGTTTGAGAGTTACATACCCCATTGATGGAGGGATTGTCAATCTCCTTTTATCCCCAATTCGCATACCTGAAAGGATCCAGTAAAATCAATATTTGGACGAAATACAAATCATGAAAGGAAGAGGGGGGAAAAGTGGTCAAGATTAGGCCGTTCAAACGATTACCATTAACCCCGACATCCCATCCCTTAATAACCTGTCCCAGACCTGCAGCAATACCACATTAACTTATAATTTAGACTAACAACTTTGATTGATAGATAAAAAGATACACCATATAAACCCAAAATTACCTAAGCGGAATTTGAATGGTGCCCTTCCAACATTACTATCAAATATTTTGCCGTTCTTTAGCTTCCCAATATAGTGAACACTAACCTGAAACCAGAGAAGACATCTTTCTTCGTTGAAATACAAGGAAATTATGTCACATCGTAATCTATCCATCCACAATTTTGAAATATCTAGTGTAATGGTTTTCATCTTACAGTGATAATGAATGAAGTGGCACTAAGTCCTACCCTTCGCATCTAAATTCTAAACCCAAGTTCAATTTTAGTATGTAGTAATCTATCCATCCACAATTTTTAAATATCTAGTGTAATGGTTTTCATCCTGCAGTGATAATGAATGAAGTGGCACTAAGTCCAACCGTTCACACCTAAGTTCGCATCTAAATTCTAAATACGAGTTCAATTTTAGTATGTAAGTAATAGGGCATGAAGAAGCATCATAAGTAACGAAAAATGCCAAAAGTCAGAATTGCATGGTTTGTCAGCTTATCTGCAGACAGACCCCATGCTAGGCTAAGCTAAGTTTGAAGATGAGAATGTCGATGCCTAGGATGCCTAGAAATGGGATTAGACATGTAACGTTCTCCAAGCATTGGGAATAAAGCTCATTCATAAAAGTAAATAGACTTTAAACAGTACCTGGTTTCCAGGTGAAGCTCTTTTGCCATCTGGTTTACCCATGGCTACCTCCTCAATAACCAACCCATTAGCAAAAGTTCTCACTCGAGATGATTTGGATTCTTTTTCCTTCTCTTTTGAACCCAAAGCTGACTTACTCTGATCTCCCGCCGTCTTCGTTAGTTCATCAGATTTTGATCCAATTTCAGTCTCCTTGCTCTTCTTCTCCTTCTTTCTCTTCTTTTTTTGCCTATCTTCCTTCTTATTTTCACCATCAGCAACGTCCATGTGAGTCGAGGCATCCCTATTCACATGGCCAGCTAAAGTTTCAGTTATCTAGTAACAATGAAGGAGAACTGCTGAAGAATAATAGCAAGCTGTAGCATGGAAATCTTGTCAAATTTCAGCTTTATCCAAAATAACATAGATGTCAGTTCATAACGCAGAGAAGTACTCATTAAAAAGGAAAAATAGAATTCTCAACATTTTGACCTTTCTTGCATGGTTCCTCCTCTTCAGTCCCTTTTCTTTGAAAAGTTTTTGGAAGGTTCAATTTTATGGTGATGACTTACCTCGTTTTGAAGTTGGCTCTGAAACATTGTTGGTACTCATCTGGCTTCTGATAGAAATTATTGTTCCTTGAAAGAGGCGATGGTGCACCCATTAGAATTTTCCGGCAAACCATTCTCTTTGCAACTTTATAGTGTATTTGGTTGGGAAATAGAAGATTTTCGAAGAAAATGAAGGGTCTGGGTTGGAGTCGAAGAAATGAAGTTTGGCCCATTTATATGCCTTTCTTGAGGTGTACAAAAAAATACTAACTGCAGTTGATGTTGAATCATCCAACTGAAGCCTCGTTTTGTACGTTGGAATACCTTCTGGAGTTATCTTTTAATATAGTCCTTACTGTTGAAAGTTGGTTTTTTTATTCTTAGAAAAGGCATATATTTCATAATTACTGCAGTTGTGAAAAAAATAATAGGTGAACATAGTCATGAAGTATAATGTAAACTGCAGAGCCCACAAAGAGATCCGGGCCTAGATCATGCGTGAATCTCATGATGCAAAGAATTACATTCTTAAAAATAAATCGAACTAGGCAGCAATATTTCTGAACATTAAAGAAATGAAAACAGAACTGATACAGAAAAGCTATGTAATCGTCTTCACATATATTATTAAAAAACAGTAGAATGAGATTGAAATATTCACCTCTGTTTAGATAGCTTTTTGCCATTCTCATCTCCATCAGAAGTTGGATTAACAGCTGCACTCTCAACTTCCGCTGGTGGCTTTTCGCTCCCCATATTACCATCATTACCAGTTTCCAGAGCTTTTACTTCTTTTACCTTCTTTTTCTGCTTCTTTTTCTTTTTCCTGACATCACTATTGAATTTCCAACATGAGAAAATAAATTAAAAGATTACAGGCTATCGAGGTGACTGAATAAAAAGTATAATCAAACTATTTTGTTAAATAGCAATGTGATTGAAGTCAGGGATAAAAATACATTTATTGTCCTTACCCAACCGGAAATTTAACTAGAGTAACCTGCTGATGGGAATTCTATCCCCACTTTTCCTCATAAAACAAAAAATTCGGCAATGATGGGGGCTAATGCATTAGTGGGGGGGGGAAAACCCACCCAATCTTGCACTGTTAACATCCTGCAAGCCCAACCAAAGAAATTGAGCAACTGATTACTTAGTTCATCTCACCTTTCCATATGATCAACTTGCTCATCGTTTTCAACTTTTCTTTTCAAGCTAGAAGCATCATTGTCATCTTTTGCTTTTGCCTCCTTCACATTCCCAGTACTGGGACCTTTTTGTTCCTGTTCTGGTTCTAATTTCTGCATATTCGCTTTGCTCTTGCTTTTGGTAGCAATTGGAAATCCATCTTCATCTTCACTTTCTGAAATAGATTTTCCCACATTCCTTTTCAGCACAACTTGACGCTGAGAATTCCTAATATCTTCAGAGTCGCTGGACTTAGTTCTCTTCACTTCTTTAGCTTGACCATTGGCATCATTTGATTTTTCATCATCCACTATCTCCTCAATTACAACTAGCAAACATGGTAAAGAAAACAAACACTTAAATTAAGCATTAGAACCAAAAATGCCAGAGTTTAAAAACGAACTTAGGATAAGTAAAGAAAGTAAAGTTTAGCATGGCTGTAACCAAAAAGATTTAGCAGCAACAACATACTAAAACCATAGTACAAATAATATTAAGTCCAAATACTTCGTAAATTATTCACTGTACCATGTTTGTTTGAAATGCAATCATACAATTTGCATCCAACATATGTCCAAATAAGTCTACTCCCACATGGTAAATTTTTTATTTTATGCAACATTTGCAACCATACCTAGCAAAAGTTGATAGGACAGAAGTTGTAAAGTCAAAAATAGTTAGAAGAGGACTTTAGAAAATGGAAAGAGACAACCAATCAAAATAATCAAACTGCGCCTATTTTCAGACCTACTGACTTCTCTCCTACGTTTAATGATTCTTCTATTCCTCCACATTCCAAAACTACCATTATGCAGCTAGAACCAAGGAAGACCATAAAATCCTAAATTCGGCATGGCCCATAAGACTGCCAAAATAAATATACAAGCTTCCCAAATCGTCCAAGCAGAATTGCAGTGTATTAAAAGGTATTCACTATCCAGTACTGATCCTTAAAAGTTCACAAGACGCATGGGATTGGGAATGATAATTAAGATCAGGCACAATTTTTTTCTTTTTAATTCTCTCATGGGTATTGAACCTTTATAGAATTCTCGACCGTGTGGAGAATTTAAAACTAATCTTCTCAGGCAGTTCAGATTTAAAATCAAATTACTGAGAGATGTGGTTCTTCGCCCTTGTAACATTAGCATCAACTTAAACAGCCTATTATTTTGAAAAAATGTCAAGTGCCGATTGAAACAATGTGAAAAGAGTGCCAAGCATTTGGTGCACCAGAAAGTTTGTAGAAGTTTCAAATTACCTCCACTTTTGTTAACTGGCGAAGTTGGGAACATCCCAGGATAGTCATCGTCGTCGTCATCAATGAATTCATCATCATATTCATCTCCAGTGTCATACTCTGATGAATCCTCGGTATCTGTTTCCGCGATGTCTTCCCCAAAAGAATCACTTCACATTGTAGTAAGAAATGACAAAATAAGTGTGCCAAAAAAAATCGACCAGATATGTCCAAAACTTCTTATTCGAAAATAAAAAATTCTCAAGAAATAATAGATTTTGTAACTGTGGTTAAAAAAATTATATAAAGGATACGAATCATAGTCATCCCTGATGAAATTTCCCTCGTTGGCTACAAAATAACCAGAGAGATGGATGCTTTGTGGGCCAATAACTGAGAAGGCTATCAAATCATCTTCCTTAAATTCAAGATTCAAGGGGCATGATTCAATCTTATTTGGTATCAAAGAGCACAAAAAAATTGGACTCTTCTGACCAACAGAACACTGAATGATGCTTCTCTCTTTCGATGAGCCAGGTCCCAAAGTTGCCTGGATTGTTTTAAGAAATGACAACAAAATTAAGGACATCTCAAAAAGTAACGAAGTAAGAAAATTCCATCATGTTCACATGATTAAGACACGCAAATTAAAATCCAAAATAATTCATTGGCTCACAGCATAACACCACATTAGTATTACCACATTAAAAAATCAAAATCATAATGCAGAAGTGGCATGTCCCAAAATCACATGGGCTCAAATTGGAAGAAAAAAGACAAAATAAAATCCCGTCGACTTGGGCGTTGAAACAATAAATTTCAAATGAAATAATATAACGTCATCGTGACATGCCCACTCCACATATAGGATACATTGAAATTGAAACTATCAACAACCCTAATAAATTTTCATCTCCAGAGAGGCGTCAGCACCCAACAAACCTGAGTTATCCGGAGTTTTCCCGGCACGTTATCAGAATGGTAAGGGTACGGTTTGCCTGGTTTCACTTCAATGCCTAGGACAAGCAAAATAACAGAAGATATAAACATGCGTGAGTACTTAAAGCCAAACCAAAAATACACATGCACGCACAAAAGAAAAATTCACATTATGCGCAATTCATGATTCCTCTTTGAAGAAGTGAAATCTATCCAAATACTACAAATAATAAAGCACTCCGTCGGGCTGCTAGATGCTAAGAAATAGAAGAGAAACAGCGACGAACAAATACTTCATCGCGGCACTCGACAGAGGGGTGATATTAAACCATTCAACTTAAGTTGCACGATTAAGACGATGCAGAACCAGGGATTTCAACGCACAAGTAAATGAAATGATAGAGATGAAATTGTAATGGAAACATACCCCAGAAACCCATTTATCAGACGGGAGAATATTGGTTGAAGTTGAATAAAGCTTTCTCTAAAACCCTAGACGACGACCGCTCTGCTTTCTTAAACCCTGAGTAGCCGCGTTTTTTGCTGCCGCTGTGCGCCTTTTTTTAAACTGGCGGATGTCCATTTGTATTTTACGGCAGTAACTTTCTTATTTTGGGGGGGAAAAAATGTACTCTTGGTCTCTAACTAATTATTTACCTTTTGAAAAGACGTTTTTAATTTCTTTTTGAAAATTATAATTAAGATGTTTTTTTTTTAAATTGAATTAGGGTCGAAAGTATATAATTAAACTAGTTGAATTAACATAATATTTATATTAATTAAATTACACCAACTTAATATAAAATAATTTCTTAATTCCAATAGAAGAATATAATTTTTTACTATATCGTGGCCTTGTCACTTGGTCCCTAATGCCCAACGAGGTATTCGGAATGCAGCATGGTTCAGCTGTGTTCTCGTTAAACACACATTAGCTCTAGAAAGTATGGTTTTGAAAGTGACACTAGTTTGCTAGCACAAGTTCCACTTCTCACTTCATGTTATGGACCCAGTGGTTGACTAGGGGCTCAACGGTCTTCTTTTTGCATGGGACATTGACGAGAAGGTCGATGTGTCGTAGCGATAAACGGCAAGACTACAACTCAATGTTTACTTTCCCCACAACGAGGAGCATGTATCTCAGCCAGGTCACTCAAAACCTAAAAGTTAATATCTCAGGCATAAGGTGTGAGACAATGTAATTACAGAACATTTAAATTTGTAGATAGGAGTATCAAGTGGTAATACGAACCACTGCATCAGAAGAAACATTTTTCCGGCTTATTGAACATTAACCCTCGAACCCTCTCTCTATACATCAAAACAAAAACAAATATATTGATTCTACAAACCTTTATATTGATATGCACGCTCTTCACAAAAGTTGATGACATGAAGAGATAAGTATACATGGTGCCTGATGAATCACTGAAGTAAATTGATGTTCACCTCATCATTTGTGAGCCCTGCCTGGGCGCTGGCAGCCTCCATCATCCCGTTGCGTATTTGGCCACTGATATCTCTAACGTGGCCCGGACCGTGTGGTATGAATACAGTTGTGTTCTTTGAGGAATGCCCAAGGTCCTTGATGGTGTCAAAATATTGAGTGATCAAGATCAGATCCATGACTTCTTTGGCTGAGGTACCTTCCACCTTATGAGAGAAGTTCAAGATATTTTCTCTCAGACCATCTGTGATCGCTTGTCTCTGCCTTGCCACACCGACACCACCTAGGTATTTTGCTTCAGCTTCAGCTTCTGCCTTCTTGACTACGAGCACCTTCTCCGCTTCGCCTTTGTATACACTTGCAAGTTGAAGCCTTTGAGCTGTAGAAAAAAAAAAACAAAATGTACCCTACAAAGCTGAGGATCTCATAATAGAAAGGAGGCAAACAAAATTTTGAAAAGTGAAGATTATATGATAGTCCATGCAATGCCCATTCAGAAGGAGAGCAGGGTCTGTTGGCTCCACCAGGAAATAATGGACAAGGCATGTTTTGGCAGAGGAACAAGGGCCCTTCCTATATGATATGACAAACAAAATGACTAAGATCATTACCTGCATTAATCTCATTCATTGCCCTGCGCACAGAAGCATCTGGTATTATATCGACCATTAGAATGTGCTCAATATTGTATCCATAATCTCCCATCACCTGATTCAGACGGTGAATATGTGTTGAAATCTTTATGTCGGTCATTTTAGGAGGTCCCAACCAAATTATATATCTAAGATGCACCAAATAATTATATTATAGGCTAATCATGATGAAAATAAACGAGAAGCATTTACAATTTTTCTAGACTGCAATCAACGAAAGTTACCGAAACAGGTATAACGCATAGTACTTAAGAATACTACATATATTTTAAATGCTGACAGGGATCCAGTGGCCATATATATTCGAAGCATACATTCCAAGTTACACATAGTTCTACAAATAAAAAATCTACCAAGTAAATATAGGCTACATAATCTCAAATTTCTATAATTCATTTTTCTGCACAATCTAGACAGCTCTTATAAATAAAATATGGTGCAAAGAATGGAAATTAACGAAACGCAGGTTAAACGAAACAGCATGACATCCAAAAGCTACAAGTCAGCCAAAATGTGTTTCTGGTTTGGAGGGGATAATTCAAGTGAGGAGCAACATAATGAAGGGAAAATCACCTTCTCAAGTTCCTCTGATACAGATTTAGCAACTTCACCCTTTTGTTCAAAGAGCTCATCCAAATTCATTTTTGGGACAACGGCACGAACCACTTCAATGAATATCCAAAATGCATTAGTTAGTAATAACCAACCCATGAAAAAAGGAATTATAGAGATAAATAGTGACTGTGAAATCAAAGCATATACCATCAAACACATAAGCCTGAATTTGTTCTTGAGGATTTTGCAACTCATAAAATGCATCGTCAGCATTTTCTTTGATGACTCGGTACTGAATTGAACACAGCAATTGCACAAAGACATTGTCCTGCAGCAAAAAGCTCAGAATTAACGATCATGAACCAAATTACTCAAATTGGCCACAAGTCCACGTTCAGAAACACATCAGTTCCTTCTCGAACAATATCATCCAAACCTCAGCTCTTTCTTATTTGTTCTATTCGGTAAACCCCATTTACAGTCCGTCAAGCTACAACATTAATTCCAGTACAAGAAACTCTAAATTCGAAGTAAATTAGAACAGACATCTACAAATTCACATATAACGAAGATTAACGAAATCAAAAGGATCGCAGAACAAATATCATTTGAGAATTAAACAAAGCCCCAAAAATCCGGGCTATAAACTTGAAATTACGACCGCCAAAGGAAAAAAAATTGAAAAACGATGGAGGAGATACCTTGGTCTTGGTCTCAATCCGAACATCGAGGGAAGAAATCTTGGTAGAGAGTATACCGGCGAGGCACTCGCCGGCGAAAAGGTTAAAAAAATGGAGCCCAGGCGGAGCCAATTTTTCAAACCTTCCCCATCTCTCCACCACCCCCACACTCGCTTGCCCCACGCACCCAAACAATACACAATTCGTATTCCCCATCGAAAACTCTCTCCGCCTTATCCGCAAAACTCCGCCGTTGACTCCGGTAGACTTAGAAACCCGGTAACTCAGCTGCACGATAGGTTACGATCGTTCAAACTTCAAACGAAACTCGCGTCCACAAAAGACACAGAATAATAACCAGATATTTCTTTTTTTCTACACTATTTCTGCTAATCGCCGACATGGTATCCAGTTTGACGTGGAATGCTTGCCTGTCAGTCCGACGTGGCGGGCCGGGTAGAAATATTCTTATTTAAGAGGGTTCGATTAGTATTTTATTTTATATATTTTGTAATAACTTCAAATATACAAATCATTTAACTGCTTGAAACAAATTTAATTGTGAAACTGTTATTTAGGTTATGGTTTTATATAATATTAACTTATAATTTGATGCGTAAATTAAAAACACTTGGACACGTCATTTCACTGTTGGCAATCCAAAACGTAAATTTAAAATTGGTGAGATTACAAAAATAGAAAAGTATTTCAAAACTAAATGGAATCAAATATTTTGTAACAATCATTTATAGGTTATCGTATCTCTTATTTTATTGGCACACTTGCATCCGTTATTTCACATTTAATATTTATTGTCCCATAATATTAAATAAAATGTCATTATAAAACTTCAACTTTCCTGGCTATTATTTCCACCTCCTGCGCTGTCGTGCGCCGTGCACGTGGGCGTTGAATTAGATTTCTTCGCTTACGATTCAGCCGCTCGATAAAATTAATTAGTTTAAAAAAAATAAAAACATTTCAATTTTTTTATTTATTCATCACACATTCATTAGACATGATCATCAAAATATGAAGCATTCTAGCGTGTCTACTATTAGATATTGTTATTTTGTTCGGAGTGTTTAGCTATCCTTTTTAGCCAAGGTGGGATCTCGCATATTAGATATAGAACATGTCTTCTCGTGAGCGAGTTTCATTATCCAGAACAATCTTAAAAGACCCACGACTCAGTTCATGCACTCACCCATGTTCTTACCCAAATTCAAGGAATCCAACAGACACCATATAGACTCAAAAAACATCAAAACAAAAAATCAGTACAAGATTCATAACTCGAGAATTAAAAACACCTTTGTTTTTATTGGACTCGTATGGTTGCTCTGCATGTGCACCATCTTCCAAGCAAGCACGCCCATAAGTCGAGGGCATTCTTGTAATTGAAGAGAGAGAAAATGACGAGAGAGAGAGAGAGACAAGATGACTGGAAAGTGTTCATATCATGGGCTTGCTTTGTTTGGACAATGTCCGTTGTAAGGGAAGCAAACTGATCTGATCTAGATCTATTGCATGTCTTTCATGGGGACACAAAAACTGAGTCCCTTAATTTCAAATCACCCCCTCCCCCCATTTTTATTTACTTTTTTGACAGCTCCAATGTGCAATTTCATTTTTTTTAATTATTATATATTACCATAATTTCAATTATTTAGAAGACACATTATGTAAAACATTTAATCAACCAATTTAATTATATATACTTTATAAATAAACTAATATCAACTATTAATATATTAACCCACATGAATACGAACATTATTCAATTATGACGATCATGTGCAAATATGTACTAGTGTCGTGACAACCCGTACATACCAGGACATCAAATCAATAAATATTAAGGTAAAGTTTTTGCATTATTTAACGTTAAAAAAAAAAAAAAAAAGACTTTATCCTTGAAATTTTACATATTAAAAATTGACAAATTGGGTTTCCCTGCTGCCTCGGCTAACATGGGGGTGGGTCTGATTTTGCCCCCATAAATTATTGACACAAGAACTTAGGATCACATTTATAGCATAATACGTTATGAAAGTTCCTTTGTCCCTCAAAATCAAGACATTTACAGGTAACTAATTAATTTATGGGTCATCGTGTTTGTTGAAAAATTTAAGACGACTAAGAATCTTTATTCCTTTTTTTTTTTTTTTCTGGTGATTAACGTGTCATGTTGTTGCAAGGAAACCCCCTATCTTAAACTATCATATTTCTAGGTAATATTCCATTTGCATGCTTAAACTATTATTTCATTTATGATTTAAGAAAGTTACTTTTCAACCAATTTAAGCATAATTTAGCTGAATTATCTCAATCCAGATATAAGCTCTTCTAAAGTTTAAAGTCTTAGAAACTATTTGTTAGACCACATTATACCAACGCAATAACCATGAAATTGCATAGATCAAATATATATGATTAAAATATGTTGTATTTTGTTAAATGAATGTACAAAATTTAGTTAAAATAAAAGGAGGGGCCCACAAATTATTTGGATAGAGAGTATTATTCGTTTTAACCACAAGCAGATGGGGCTGGCAAACAGTTGCCTTGAGTACAATCTTCTTGGATTCCTCTCCCTATATAAACAAGCCTTCAGGTAAGCCCGGAGAGCCACAAGCATCACAATTACCTGAACACACAGAAAAAAAGCACCCAATGGCTAGCTGGTCTGCTGAGAACGCCACTGAAGCCTTCCTCAACACCCTCAAAATGGTAAGAACAAACAAAACCATAAACCCAATACGTTCCTTTCACCCCTTTCAGCTTAATTGAAATTAGTGATCTAATAATCTCGTTATGTTTCAGGGTCAGAAAGTGAACGAACCTGACGTTGCTGAGTTCATTTCAGCTATGGCTGCTGGAAACAACGCGCAGTTAATGGTTGTCGCATATGAAACATCCGCCGACCACAAGATTCTAGCACTTGCTGCGGCGGCCCGACAAACCGGCGGCCGAGTTATCTGTGTAATTCCACGGCAAGAAGATCTTCGTCTCTCACAAGAAATTCTCGGAGTTGAATCATATCACGGAATCGAGTTCGTCGTGGGAGAAGCTGAGAAGGTTATAAGAACCCATTACAGAGAAGTGGATTTTGTTTTGATCGACTGCAATCTGGACAGCCACGTGGCGGTGCTTGACGTCGTTAGATCAAGAAAGAATAACCAACGCGCCACCGTGGTAGTGGGTTTTAACGCGATGAGCAAAAGATCCGTTGGAGGGTGGTCCGGTGGATCGACAACGCATCTTTTGCCGATCGGGAAAGGGCTGATGGTGACGAAAGTTGGGGCGGAGGTATCAAAATCCGGCAGTGATGGGAGGAGGAGGAGGAGAAGCCAGTGGGTTGTGAAGGTGGATAAATGCACCGGCGAAGAACATGTCTTTAGGGTTAGGCTTCCACAGGGGAAAGTCATTCAAGCCTAAGTTTTTTTTTAATTTTAATTTCATAATCTCTGTTGGGAAGACGGAAAAAATGGAGTAATTTTTTCTTTTTTATTTTGAAGTCTTAGGGCTTATTGAGAGAATTAGTAAAATCCTTCAAATGTATATAGCAACGATGGGAGAAATTATATTAGAAGTTAATTTTTTTACTTTGGTTTCAATAATTATTTGACTTGACTTAATATGTTTGTAGAAAGTTTTGAATCTCTAAATTTATGGGGAAAGTCAATTTAATCTCTAAATTTTTAGGACAAAATAGATATAACTCGACAATAATATTCAAATAATTCCTATATATCTTCATTTGATTTATGCATAATTATTTTGCGAATTAATATCCACCTTTTAATATTTAGAATTTTAATTCAGCATCTAATAGTCTTAAGATTCTACTGCAACACAGTTATATTGCCTACTTGTTCTTCTAAGAATGAAAACTATTCCCATAAATTTAGGTATTTTCACCAATTTTGTTTTTACTCATATGCTTCTTATAAATTGAGGTAGCTCAATATAGAACTGTCTTAGATAAACATATTCAATTTTGAAATTCTCATCATTGAATCATTGAAAAGGAAGGTGAATATTGTTAGTATAAATATTGTTGGATGATGAAAGTCCCACATCGCCTAATTTAGGGAATGATCATGGGTTTATAAGTGAGGAATACTAACTCTATTGGTATGAGGCCTTTTGGGGAAGCCCAAAGCAAACCCATGAGAGCTTATGCTCAAAGTGGACAATATCATACCATTGTGGAAAGTCGTGTTCGTCTAACAAATATTAACTTTAATTATTTTAAACCTTTCTCAACTATTTATATCTTCACGATAGTGATGATTAGAGTTAGAGTGTGGTATTTTAAGGGAAGGAAGAGAGAATTTAAATACAAGCATTAAAGTACCCAGGTTGAAATTGAGAAGGATATCCTCCATTTGATACTCTCCCGTAATGACAATGTTCATCTTGGTTCCAATCCACCACTAAAAACACACAAAACAAAAGAAAAGGGCCCAAAACAAAACAAAAAAGGGCCCGAGTTTTGTGGGCCTCAATTACCGAACGATAGACCCGACCCGACCTGCACCAGCCCACTTTAAGAAAAACCCTAATTGTAAACATAATCGCCACAGAATCATATAAATTGCAACGCGGCACTCTCTCTCCATTTCTTCGGAGAGAGGCTGCTGGAAACTCAATCGTAGAGAGTTGCTGCTCAACCGCCGTCCCAGGTTTCTCTTTTGAATTTTGCTGTTTTTTTTTTTTTTGTTATTATCTATATTGCTTATTGTATTGTATAGTTCTTAAGACCATAACTTTTGCTTCATTATGATGAGACTTCTTAATGTGTACAAGTTATAAAACTAGGTTATCTATTTCACCTCTATTTTTGTTTTTGACTCCTGTGGTTGAGTTATTTTTGCCAATATTGAAAACATTGTTGTGTTCGTTCAACATATTCGTTTTGGACATTCAGGATTACCGGAAGTATGGCGTACGCAGCAATGAAACCGACTAAGGCAGGCTTAGAAGATACGCAAGAGCAAATTCATAAGATCAGGATTACGCTCTCCTCCAAAAATGTTAAGAATCTCGAAAAAGGTATATATATATATATATATATATATATATATATATATATATATTTTTTTTGTGTATTTTGGATTAGTTTTGTTGTTTTTTTTTTTATAAATTGTAATTAAGTTAATATGGCACTCAAATGAGATTGCATCTTTGTTTCTGTAGTTATCTGTTAACTTTGATGTGAAGTAAGTCGGATGTTACTTGTTAATTTTTTTTTTTTTTTTTTTTTGCAACGATCTGATTATTAGTTATAAGCGTTAACAAATTGTAGAGAGATATTATTGTTGGATAAAATGGATGTAGGATCCCTATTACGTGTTGACTGACGAACATTATCCTGGAACTGTCAAATAACTTCTTAGGATTGCAGTCTGTTTCGCCTGATGTTGTTGCATTGTCAAGTCCTCACTTTACTGACTTAAAAGTACGTAGTTAGCCTATCATGTAGTTGAGTTTTTCTTTTTCATAGTTGTTCCAATAGGCGCCTTTGGAAATTCGTTTGACATCATTTTGAATCAATAGTTTGTGCCGACTTGGTTCGTGGTGCCAAGGACAAGAGGTTGAGGGTCAAAGGACCAGTAAGAATGCCCACTAAGGTTCTTCACATTACAACCAGAAAATCTCCATGTGGTGAAGGTACTTTGTTTTCCTATACCTATGATTTTCCGAACTAATCCAATGTGATATATCCATTCTAAAAATCATTGATACCTTAAATCCGAGTGTGATGTTGATTTCATCGTTAAATGCATCCCAATTCTTATTGAAATCATTCCTTCACTTGTTTTTTCATTGCAGGTACCAACACCTGGGACAGATTTGAGCTACGTGTCCACAAGCGAGTTATTGACCTTTTCAGCTCTGCTGATGTAGTGAAGCAGATTACCTCCATCACCATTGAACCTGGTGTGGAGGTTGAGGTCACCATTGCCGATCAATGAATGCACTCTTTTCATGTTTTGCCTATTTTTAGTCTCATCAGCCAGTTGTTACTTTTTGAGTCTGGATCATACCTGTCAGGGTTTGTGGCGTTTTAAATGCAATAGTTCCCATTATATGTTGAAGCTAACGACATTGAGAGAGTTTTCTATTCCTGCCAAAATTTTCTTGCGTTAGAACTATGTTAATTACATTATCTATGCAGATTCTGTATCAGCAGCTGTCATTTGTCCTAATTGAGATTTTAAATATGCAGTGCTTTAAATCCAGACATCACGATTCTTTCAATTGTAAATCACACGAGTGTTGTTAGGCCGAAGGATAATGAATAAGAATATAGGAAAAGATATGTCCTAAACAAAGAGTTTTTTTATTCTCTCGGGGTAACATAAGCTTCAACAATTTTAGTCGTTTCTGCTGTGGTAGTGATTTCGATAGCAGTCGTTAAATTAATCAAATGTAGTAGGGTTAAGCAAGTGATTTGTAGTCTACACTTATAATATAAAAAATAAGGAAATTTACATTTTAATTGAAATATAAAAATAATTAAATTTACACTTTTAACTTTTTTGTTTGGAAAAGAAGAATGTGATATGTTTTAGTTCTCAAACATTCCTAATACTGTATGAGTACTTGTTCTCTATGTACACATTTTGATTTTCTCATTATAAATAATTCTTCAATATACCGAATAATTTTTCCGAGTAGGGCTTCAGCTCTCTCTAACAGGGACCTCCTTTAGAGTTGAATTAGTGAAAGTTTTCCAAAAGCAAAATATTTTATTTTTCGTCCCACATCGGACAGGACGGAGGATGAGATGGACTGACAGTGTATAAAACGAAACGGAGTAGCCATGAATTCCTCACTTACCTGGACGGGGTGTATGAGCGATCAAGAAGGCTCATTGCCTGGGTAGGCGACCTCCATTGCACATTGGGGAGGGGTGCTCGCCCAAGGTCTGCTCAAAGTAGCAGAGCCTACGTCATAATTTGTGGCAGTGGGGGCCTGCGTTCGCGCGGCCCCTACCCGGTCCGTAGTTCAAGTAAGCATTTACTGCCTATCGCAAGATTTGGGCCGGCGGCCCGCTACTCTGCCGTTGAATGGGAAATTGCCCGTACCTAACTTGTCTTCAATTTAGCTTAAATTTACGTTCTTTTATTCAGCACATATATTCTATGGCAAGCTGTTATGATATTAGACAAACACGAATCTATATACCGCATCAATTCTCCAATCCTTGAAATATTAACTTTAGTCTAAAAGTAATTCGTATTATATCCTTAAAATTAGACAGAATATATTTAGATTTAACGCCCATTTCAACGAGGAAATGTGAGCATATAATCATATCAAATAATTAAACTGTATAATTAATCCCTCGGAGAGTTGGAGTATGTAATCATTCACATCACAAACATTAATCAAATCTACTTTTCTTTTACTTCCATCAAAATTCAAGATCATCATTTTTTACGTCTTTCTTTTTTGGGGTAAATATTAATTTTCAGATAACTTTTAGCTGATTGTGGGAAACTTTGCCTTTTACTGATGTACATAAAAAAAATCACTTGTGGTAAGAATTGACTGGAAAAAGTTGAAAACCAATTTGGATGTGGGTTAAATTATTATAGTGGAGAGAGAAAAGTTATCTATCATATTGTAACTTTCTTATTTGTTTAGTAAGGCGAGGTGAATTTTTTAACCTTCATAAACCGAAGTATAATAATTTTGAAAAGTTATAAAGCTAATGTTTGGACTAAAACGGTAATGGAATCCAATTTCAAAGTAGGGCAAATAAAAATTTTAGGGTTGTTAGACATAAAATTGAATATTTTATTGATGTTAAAAAAATATGTATGAGAGAGATTTATCTCTATTAGCTAAATTAGACGGAAAATAAAGATTACATTCCCTTGGATACAAATTGCAATAAATATGTAAAAATTTCAAAAGATAGGTCCTACCCGTACCAGCATTATTGATTTAAATGTAGGGTCGTTACTTTAAATGAAAGGATGGAGTGTAAAGAATGTGGAGTAAAATGAGAGATGTATTTAGTTGGTTAAATGGTGTGGGTCTAATTAATTACATTGGACTTTAATTTATTTTTGCACATAACTCAACTCATTTACTTAGACTCTATTTTCAGCCTTACACTACCTTATATTAAAATACACTTATTCAATTCAACTCCCATTCCTAAATATGCTCCTCTTTTTATTAATCATACCCATTTCACTATTCATTCATCTTTGACCACCAAAAGAAAATGTCAAATTTATTTATTTTTAATTATTTTCCATATTTACCAAATACATTAATATTTTTTAACATTAAATAATTAATAAACATTTTGAACTATATTATAAATATTTTCAAATAGTTTATGTATATGAATTTCAAATATAACCTAAATTAAAAAATTTGAATGATAAACACATTATTAAAACAATAAGGAAAAATGAAGGCAAAGGCATACACACATAGATATATATATATATATATAGTTAGTTAGTTAGTTAGTTAGTTAGTTGAGAAGAGGAGCGTGGAGCACAGCAAATAGTAACGCACCACTTTTGTGATGACGCGTTTGAATCACGCTAACCCTAAAGTGGGGTCCACTTGGAGGAGTGGAGTGGGCCCCAGTGGGTGTTCACAGTTTGTTCGTGTTAGGGTCATCGCAGCTGGGGTCCACAAAGACGTCGCAATCAATCTGGGCTGTACAATGCCAACGCTATTTTCATCCATCATTACTCAGTGCCCGCGCAATTTACTCCTTTGATTATTTCAATCTCCCCGATATTCCTCCAAATACATTAAGATATAATTCATTCATTATGAATAATTAATCAAGATTAAACGTCTTAATTAAAGAAAAAAAAATGATGACTTGTTTTAAATTAATTTTTATTATTTTAGTTTAAAAGAATCAATACATTGACCAATAGTCAAACATGCTCCGGCAGAATATTCTCCGTCGGGCCGGAGATGAAACGGACGGTCCAGATTTCGGATATCATGAAACACCTTCAACTTTGATGGACCTAACACTACGAATGTCCGTTTCTGAGCAAACCCCTCTGTTCTTTTTTTCCACGTCAGCCATTTGCTTTTTTGTAATAAATTTTAAAAATTGCAGGTTCAAGAATGCCCTCGTTTTAAGGACTGCCACCGGAATTTAGGACACCGCGAGGCGGTCCCACACCCCTTGTCACCTATCTCGCGTTACGAGCGCCCTCTTTTTTTTTTTTTTTTTTTTTAAATTTAATTTAATTTAATTTAATTTATTGTTTTATTTTTTGGGTTGTTTCCATAATTTATAGTAGACATCAATGTTACGGTGCCAAAAATAGTCGATTTTATATATATCATTAAATCATATTTAATAATATTAATACCTATTCAATAAAATATTGAAGTATGACTACTCAAATATTAAATACATGTTTCTATAAATAAATAAATATACAAACAAAGCTTCCACGTCGGAAAAAAAAAGTACACGTTGGATGAAGGAGATTCCAATTAAACTGGTTCAAATCATTATGCATACACGTCATGCGTAGATAACATTGTTAATTACACGTCATTATTCAATTATTAATATACTTTTTACTCTAAATTTTTCATTAAAAAAACACGATCACTGAAATCCCAACTAATTCTCAACTGCAAAAACGAATATTTATTGAAGTGAATCACATCTAATGATATTTTCCATTATTAGTTTTAAATAACCAAAATAATTGTTATGAGTATCATAATTAGTATGTTAATATTAGTTAAATTAAAGTGGAAATAAGAAAAGGACATTCGTAGATATAGCAGTTTAAGAAAAAAAAATCAATAATGACGTGGTAAATATTAGAAATAGTGAATAGCACGTTTAATAATCAATTATTAACATGAAACATAAATCACTGAAAAAATAATTTAGCACCTATCAAATTATTGTTAATAACTACCATACTATCTCTATATGATTAATCTATTAAATAATTTAATTACCGTATCTTGACTTTTGCATTAATTTAGATATTATGTTTCTTAAAATGTGACAATTATAGATTTTATTAGAACTTTGACATTGTAATCAAATGAGAGACACGGTAGCAAAATAACGAAATGTCGAAAATACCCATCTGAACTGGACCGGACCGGACCGGATCCATTTTCCCGCGATGCGTAGGCCCCACTTTTCCTCTTCCCTTCGCTTCCTCACTTGAAAGAATCTAACTGTCCTCCATTACCTCGCCGATCAATGCCTTGTTTTTCCTTTTCTTTTCTTTTTACAATAATAATTAATAAAATCCATTAAAATTTTGAATTTTTGAAATATATTCCCTTCTCTTATAAATAGATGTGGAGCTCACTCGCTTGTCATTTTGTAGCCTTCCTCAACCCCCAAATGGAACCTTCACTAGTTCCGCCCACCGCTATCTCCCTCCTCCTCCTCCTCCTCACGCCGGCCGCTGCCTGGCGCCCTTGGCCTCATCTCGCCAAATCCAACGCCTCCGATGACCCGCTCGTCGCCGACTCCAAGAAATACGAGGGCTCGTCGGAGTTCGTTCACTTGAAGTACCACATGGGCCCAGTTCTCACCGCTAATATCACCGTCCACATTGTCTGGTACGGCACGTGGCAGAGGAATCAGAAGAAGATCATCCGCGAGTTCATCAACTCCGTTTCCGCTCCCCATTCCAAATCCCCGTCTGTCTCTGGCTGGTGGCGGACTGTTCAGCTCTACACTGACCAGACCGGAGCCAACATTTCGAGCACGGTCCGGCTCGGCGAAGAGAAGAACGACCGGTTTTACTCCCACGGAAAATCGCTGACTCGGATGTCCATTCAGTCGGTGATTAAAAGTTCCGTCACGGCGAAATCCCGGCCCCTGCCGATAAATGCCCGGAACGGACTCTACCTTTTACTGACCTCCGATGACGTTTATGTCGAGAATTTCTGTGGGCAGGTTTGTGGGTTCCATTATTTCACGTTCCCTTCGATTGTAGGTTCTACACTGCCCTACGCTTGGATTGGGAACTCGGAGAAGCTTTGTCCCGGTGTTTGTGCTTACCCATTCGCGGTGCCGAGTTACATTCCGGGGCTGAAGCCGATGAAATCGCCGAACGGCGATGTTGGAGTGGATGGAATGATCAGTGTGATAGCTCATGAATTGGCGGAGTTGGCATCGAACCCACTTGTGAACGCATGGTACGCTGGCGGGGACCCTATAGCGCCGGTGGAGATCGCCGATCTCTGCGAAGGGATTTACGGGACCGGAGGAGGAGGGTCATACACGGGGCAGTTGATGGACGGTCATGATGGGGCCACGTACAACATGAATGGGATCAGACGTAGGTATTTGGTCCAGTGGGTTTGGAATCATGTGGTAAATTACTGTACTGGCCCTAATGCACTGGACCAGTAGTAGAGGAATATTTCTCCCGTTTTTTTCTTTTTCTTTTTCTTTTTTTTTTTGTTTTATTGTTTTTAATTCGGGAGGGGTGTGGGGGTATATTTTTGGAGTGGGCTTTTGGGCTTCTGGGGCTTCTGGGGGTTGTGGGCCTTGTGAGGTCTGGCTGTTAATCAGTAGTAACTTAGTCGTTAAAAGGCAGTTAATCACGTGTTAATAAGAAGATTTCCCTAATACTAATTTCGCATTTATGGAGCTTGAGAAAACAACGAACAAATCGAACCACTTTTCCTCCCCCCATGAAATTATTATTTTCAATATATTTAATGGAATTTGTTATATGCATTTATGTAACCATATGCATTATCCTTATTCATTAATTGTTACATTAGATGTAAATCTTTTTCAAATAATTGTTGCATTTTAATCTTTTTCAAATAATCGTCCAACAGTGATCCTTTAATATGAGTAATAAAAAAACGTCCACAAAAATATTTATGTAAGTAATAAGAGCTATAAAGTATTGTACTTTATTACGAGATCTTAGTTGAAAAAAGAACGTATTTTATAAGCTTCACGGGAAAAACCCAACCCAACCCAACCAGCATTGTTTATTATTATTATTATTATTTTGAAAAATGGAAGTTTGAGTGAAAATATCTAAAATCTAGTAAGGAAAGGAAATAGAAAAATATCTAAGAAAAGGAGGGGAGGATTAAAAGTAAAAGTAAAAAAAAATAAAGTAAAGGTGGTGGAATGATTGAGAGCAATTGTGGTGCGAGTAAAAAGTGAGATAAAGGTCACTATCAAACAACTAGAGAGGGAGATAACGACAATTTATTTACTTTTTTTTACTGTTTGTGCATGCATACTTGAAATAGTTCAAAAGAGAGAGAAAAAAAAAAAAAAAAAATCTTTTCCATGATTAATAATAATGACAAGTAGCTCAATCAAATTCAAATTGATCTACAAAAATATAAAATTCAAAGTCATTTTTCTTTGATTTTTCTGTGTGTTTATTGGGATTTGAGCCTTTTTTTTTTTATTTTCTGATGTTACCTCTGCTCACACGCTTCTTTTTCCCCAACAAAACCTGCCCCACATTTCTGTTTTTGTTTTTATATTTTCTTCTGTATTTATTTATTACCCTAATTTCAAAAAATAAAATTTTAAAAATATAATGATTAATTTTACAATGGGGGATTTAATACTTAAATAAATTACATCTCATTCAAATTTCATATAATTTTATTTCTAATTTATTCAAGAGATTTGGTGCCAATCGAAATATATGCCAGATTGGAAATTGGAGTTGTAGGAGGATGACACGGAATGCCAGAGGGTAGTGTAAGACTCGACCTACGTGTCAGCCGCAAGAGATGGTGATGACACGTTGACACTCAGCAATCACCCCATTTTCCACGTATATAAAAACCCCCTGTATCTCTAAATCAATCAACTCGTAATTTCCCCCCCCCCAGTTTATGCTTTGTCGGCTCTGTTCCTACTCCATTGGAGCTTCTTCTTCTGCTTTCTTCGGTGGTTTTCGCAGTCCTGAGTTTAGAAATAGTTTCATTCCGCGCAGTTGGGCCATCGGCGGTGTTGGGTTAGTGAGAAACATGGCATCTGAAGGCCGACAATTTCCTCCACAGAAGCAACAAGCTCAACCTGGCAAAGAGCACGTCATGGACCCAACTCCACAGTTTACCAGCCCAGATTACAGGCCTGCCAATAAGCTTCAGGCACCTTTCTTGTCAATCTAATTTCATCTTTTAACTCTCGGTTTGGTCTTCAGTTTTGAGGTTTATGGGTGCAGGGGAAAGTGGCGCTGGTGGCGGGCGGGGACTCCGGAATTGGTCGGGCTGTGTGTTACTGTTTTGCTTTGGAGGGTGCAACTGTAGCCTTCACGTACGTCAAGGCCCAGGAGGTCAAAGACGCCAATGACACTATTGAAATGATTAAGAAGGTCAAACACGACTCTGCCAACAACCCGTTGGCTATAGCGGCTGACTTGGGGTTTGATGAAAACTGCAAGAGGGTGGTTGATGAGGTGGCCAAGGCCTATGGTCGGATTGACATTTTGGTTAACAACGCTGCTGAGCAGTACAAGGCGAGCTCGGTTGAAGATATCGACGAGGAGAGGCTCCAAAGAGTATTTCGAACCAATATCTTCTCCTATTTCTTCACCACCAGGTAGGTAGTAAGTTTTGAATGAAGCAAAACGTTGGAGAGTTTATACTCAAAATCGACCATTTATGGAGATCACTTATTCCCTAATACTCTAAATTAGGGAATGTCGAGACTATAAATAAGTAATACATCTAAATTCGACAACATCGAATCTTATGGTCTCTTAAGATTTTTTGTTTCGAGTTTAATAGGCATGCATTGAAGCACATGAAGGAAGGGAGCTCCATAATCAACACGACCTCGGTGAACGCCTACAAAGGAAACGCCAAGCTGCTCGATTACACGGCCACCAAGGGGGCAATTGTGGCGTTCACCAGAGGCCTAGCCCTGCAGCTGGCAACCAAAGGGATAAGGGTCAACGGCGTGGCGCCAGGGCCAATATGGACTCCATTGATTCCGGCCTCCTTCGACGAGGAAGAGACTGCTAATTTCGGGTCTCAGGTACCCATGAAGCGAGCAGGGCAGCCCATTGAAGTGGCTCCCTCGTACGTCTTCCTTGCCTGTAACGCTGATTCCTCTTACATAACTGGCCAAGTCATCCACCCTAATGGTAAGCTATTATATATTTATTTATTTATTTATTTCGTATTTATTTATTTATTTGTCTTTTTGTTTTCTTCAGGTGGGACTATAGTGAATGCTTGACGAGGAGGAGGAGTTCGAGCTCTGGTGAACGACATAGTTGTATGGAATTTTGTTAGGGAACTTGCAAGGAAAATCCAAATAATGTAAAATATTCGTACTTAAAATAAAAGTTCTTCCTTGCAAAAAAACATAAATATAATATGTGATTATAAATATTATTGTGGTGTAGTTGGTTAATAATAATAATTTTTTTATGATGGAATATATTTTAAAATTTTAATGTTCCAAAAATAATTGCATATAAAAAAAATAAAAAAATAAAAGAGAGAGAAGCTGAAGAAAATTAATTATATTATCTCATTAAAATTTTGATTAAAACGAAATTTATTTTAGGGCTCATACGGTGAGGAAATAAAAAATAACATAATCGTAGACTTCCATTGGTGAAACCGAAGTCCCTTCGAAGCTGGTCCGCCCCTTGCGCGAGGTCTCAACGTGGATCCCACTCCATGCCCGGTTTCATGGCCTTCCTGTCCGGCCCATTTATGATCAACCTCCGAAGGTGACCTTGACAGCAGCTTGTAGCTACGTGGGTAGCATTTGTTTTGAGCCCAACTCAACTACGCACTTTAGGTGTTCGACCAAATGTCTCACTTGGACGAGGGCTTCCAAAAACATCGCCGTGCTGACGAATAACCAACCTAAATTTGAATCCCATGAACCATTCGATCTTTCTCAACTAGAATACAGCTTCTGGAAGAGAGCCGGAGATCAAAAGATGTGGAGACGAGTTGCTTCAGTCTCTCATTTGACGTTCGCCCACAATTCCACTGTCAATAAGGTAAGTAATTACGTCTACTCTGATATCTCGAGCTAGCTAGCAATGAGCGGCTGCGGCCAATGTGTTGATTGCTCTTCACTTTCTTCTGGGAGCAACTTATTTCACTGGCGTGTTTGGGTTTTGATTAGAAGAATAATGCGTACTCTGTACGCTTAAAATGGGTATCTCTTACAACCATAAGCATTTCTCGTAGTTTATGAATATTTAGGGATTCCATTGTTCTCCATGCTCCATTGCTCTAGTTTTAAGAAATACGTCTCACTGAAGTCTGTGCTGTAAAATTGCTCCATATAAAAACTGTGTTCATTTTTTTGTCTTATAACCAGTTTTACCTCTTTTATTGCTGATACCATTGCAGAATGCGTGTACGTTTAAGTGTTGGGAAGCATTTACCACTGAAATACCCAGAAAGGTAATATGATTTTGCCTAGCCTCACTATTGTCTCCGGATTCTTCATATCATGCCACAGTTCCTCTCTTAATCACATGGAAAATACCTTAGTGCTCACACGTTGAAGCATTTGCCCCCACATTGAAGATTTATATGCACGTCTGTTGTTTATTTATGTCATTCTGTTTTCAAGTTTGGAGTAATTTTTTGGATTGTTTTTTATTTGGGTGCAGGAAAAAACTACCTATCAAACAGCTAAAACGCCATTCATAACTTTTGTATTAGGTAATGTTCACTGCTTTTTCATCCTTTTCATTTTTGGTGACAGTGAAGGATTCTTTATTTATATTTTGTGGTCAATTATACATAGTTCCGTCATAATCTAGAAGGTGACTAGGAAGCCAAGGGTGAACATAAGTTCATCTATTTTGGAGTTCTTTTCCTCCAAGGTTTATGGCTCAAAGCATTTAAAAGTAAGGTTCATTGCTCTAGCAATGACCTATGAACCTTGCGTAGTCAGCTTCAAAATCGCCATGTTTGTTTCTCAGTGGGGGTTCTTCAATATTCCAAGTACATGTATTGTTCTGTCTTAATATGAAGCTGGATGAGGAACTGAACGAAACGGGGGTGTAATGTGTCTTAAGAGTTTATTAATTCATTGTCGTGGAGGTCCCTATTATAATGTTTTCAGCCTCGAAAACGTAGTCAAAAGTGACTTAAATGTCGAATAAAAATTGTACTTTGTTTGAGGGTTCCAGACAAGGCGTTGAGCCTCGATTAAGAGGAGGTTGTTCGAGGGGATGATTGTTGAGGACTATTGGGAGGGAGTCCTACATTGGCTAATTAAGGGAGGAAGTCCTACATTGGCTAATTAAGGAGATCGTGATTGTACTTGGAAATGGAAGGTCCCCCTCATACTCTACTCTATTTAGAATTAGGGGTTTATAAGTAAGAAATACATCTTTATAGGTACGAGACTTTTGTCCCAAAAGGCAAACTCACGCTCGAAGTGTCATAAACATCAAATTCTCATGCCCACAATACTGGCTATACTGTATGGTTAAACAATATGGAAATGTCAGGATTTGCATAAATAAAGGACAGTATGGTTAAACAATATGGAAAAGTCAGGATTTGCATAAATAAAGGGTTCTTGTAAGGAAGAACAGAAGAAAGGATGTCCTCAATTTCAATGAGATGGCCTAGATGCTTATATATTAGGCCTGAATATACTAGAACTGGCAATGCTTTCAGGTGGCCCTGGAAGTGGCAAAGGTACACAATGTATGAAGATTGTTGAGAACTTTGGGTTTACACATTTGAGTGCTGGAGATCTATTGAGGAGGGAAATAGCTTCTAATAGTGCAGATGGGTAATTATGTTTCGTTTTCCTTATTGAGAAAACTTCCATATCCATCTAACCTCTGACGATGTCTATTGATTGTGAATTTCTATTTTCAGTATCATGATTCTCAACACAATTAAGGAAGGAAAAATAGTTCCTTCGGAGTTGACGATCAAACTTATTCAAAAGGAAATGGAATCAAGTGACAATTATAAATTTCTCATTGATGGGTTCCCACGGAGTGAGGACAACAGGAAAGCATTCGAACAAATTGTAAGTTTCTTCTATACCATTCTCTTTCTATTCAGTTCTTATTTCCTGTGGTGAAGATTTTTTTTTAAGAAATCAATTTGAGCTTTCCCTTTCGGGCTTCTCAAACGCGTTTGCTAGGGAGAGATTTCCACACCCATATAAAAAAAGGTTTGTTCTCCTCCCCAACCGATGTGAGATCTTACAATCCACCTCCTTTGGGGTCTAATGTCCTCAATGACACTCGTTCCCTTTTTCAATCGATGTGGGACCTCTCAATTCATTATCTTCGGGGTCTAGTGTCCTTGCTGGCACACTACCTTGTGTTTACCCTTTTTGGGGCTCAACTTCCTTTTTGGAGCTCATCACCCCTTTGTAATAGCCAGAAGATATTGTCTTGTTTGGGCTTCCCCTTTCAGGCTTCTCCACACTTCTATTAATGAATGCTTTATTCGCTTCTCCACACTTCTATTAATGAATGCTTTATTCTCCTTCCAACTGATGTGGGATCTCATAAATACTAAGGTCTAACGATGGAAAATAGACCTGCTTGGTGTATAATACAGTTCTGTCATTCATGATGTAGTTTGGGGCAGAACCAGACAATGTACTCTTCTTTGATTGTCCAGAAGACGAGATGGTGAAGCGGGTGCTCAATCGTAACCAGGTGGCTAATCTTTTAGTGTCGAAATCGCTCTCACCCTCACCAACTCAAAATGATATATTTTGCAGGGAAGAGTTGATGACAACATTGACACAATCAAGAAAAGGCTGAAAGTTTTTACGGCCTTAAATCTTCCAGTAGTGAATTATTATCTGGAGAAGGGAAAGCTATACAAGGTATTGTATTCAACTTCTAGTGTTGGAGGCATGCTACTATTATTACTTGCCTTGACCCCGTTTTAAAATTATTGGAACTTGTTATTTGAGCTTATTGTATCCAAATGTATACCTTCCTTAACCGGGAAAATATTGCAGATTAATGGAGTTGGAACAGTGGATGAAATATACAAACAAGTTCATCCAGTTTTTTCAACATTTAATTTTGAGGTATTTGGTTTCTGTTTTCCACACGTTGTTGATCATCTCCCAAATATTGTTTTTTATTTTTTTTGACGGGAATCAATTTTGTTCAGAAGTGCTGTGTTGATTAATCGGCTTACGTTATAAATTACGTGGAGGATGATCCCTGTCTGTGCCTGGAGGGAGTTACCCTCCATTTCCGTTGAAGATCATTGTGAGTTCATTTCCCTTATTACAGCTTTTTTTTTTTCTGGTCACGTTCATGATTACTGTGAAAAATATTTAAAAATGGCAGACACAAAATTTAAAATAAAATTTTATAATTTTTTTTTAATGCAAACTTATAATTCAAATGTTAATAATAAAAAAAAAAGAACCATTAGGATTAAAGTAGTCCAACAAGCTTCATATATAAAAATTAAAAGACATTTTTTAGTTTAATAATTGTGAGAGAATCCAAGGCCTTGAGCTTTAACTACGAATTTATAATAGGGGAATCAAAGCCCAGCGCATGATGCAAAATCTTGGAAAACAAAATTTAATCCCAAATTGATGTGTAATTATTATAATAATTACATTTTAATTAATCACCTTATAGGCTTATAATATAAGCAAGAAATGGAACCGACTTACTTTAACAACGCCCTTACTCTGTAGACTTGACGGCCCAGCCCCACCAAGGTATCACATATTGACTGAAAATCAAACCCAATTTTATTTCAACTTCCAACTATAATCTTCCGTTACATTATTTTCTAATAATTTAAACTATTATATATATTTTTTGTGAACAAAATTATGTAGTTTTGTAGATATTTGTTTTTAAAGAAAACTGAAATTTAGGTGTGAAAAATTAATAGTTGTAAAGATATTTGAGGACACGTCATAAGATTTTTTATTTATAAATAAATGAAAAAAAACAATTATTGAATGGGAGGGAGGGTCCAGACATTATTATTACGATTGCAACCTAACTATAGTACTATCCCCTTCAAAACCTGCTTTGGATTCCTTTTTTTATTTTTATCATTTAACCTAAAGTTATTCAATTATTTTATTTACAAATAAAAGTAAATCAAATATAGAAACATGAGAATTAATTTGACTGATATGCCCAATTAAAGAACACGAACTTAGGGCCCTAAAATGAATTAACTCAATTATAGGCGGTGATGGTGGAATATTTAAGGAAATTAAAAGTTGTTAGAGAAAATTTTATACAGTTTTTTCAAGTATATTAATAATATTAATATAATATCATGTGAAAGCCGACAAAAGCATGAAGCTGCTACTGAGCTGGTGTGTGTAATGTCGGCAGGAAAATATTGGTCCTTCTCGTATATTTTGTTCAAAAATATTTATGTACTTTCTTTATATATAAATATATTTTGGACAGAAAATCCTATTCTCATCTGCCCATTTATTTTACTTTGACTTTCATCCCATTTTTTGAAATGCATTTTCAGATAAATTCCCTTTTATTTTCTATTTTATTTTATTAAAACTTTATAATTTACATATTTCATATTCACTCTGCCTTTCGTTACCTACAAATGAAAAATTGATATTTGTAATTAAGTTAGACACATCAAAAGATTCTTCTTTTAATCATTTTTGTTTTGTAGCAAAAATAAAGAAAAAAATTATGATTTTGACTGTTTTGTTGCTTCCATTACAACAATTAAGTCTCTATCTTTGTTCATGCACTCCTAAATGCTCTGTTATTATAAACTCATTTTTAATTGTTTTTCATTGATTTGATTCATAAATTCATTTGATTTTTAACATTTAACCAAAGTAGGATTTTAACCCTTTGATTGGATATTCTAAATTATTTTAATATTATTCTATTTTAATTAAATAAAAATATAAACATGAGTTTTAGTACATAGTGTTGAGAAATGACTCTCAACAATCTAGGCGGTGGTGAACCATATAAATTAATGATTTTGTATTAAATGGAGATTGTGACTAAGCGAAAGATGATATAATTCAAAAATGTTTATTTTACATCTTTTATAAAGAAAATATAAATTAATATATTCATTGCATTATATTATATCAAGTTTTTAAATAATTTTTACTACGTTTTTTTTTATAACAAATTTTCCCGTACTTATTTTTATATATTAATTAATTAGTTGGTTAGTCAGGTTCTGGAAATTAAAAAATATATATATAGTTTTAGAAATTTTATTTTTTATTTTTGAAATTTAGAGATATAAAAATTGTGAAAATAAATATATATATTTTAAAATTAGCATAATTTAAAAAACCAAAAAAATATTTAATGATAAATTAAAAGAAAAAAAAAAGAGTGTGAACATAAAAAAAAAAAAAAGAGGGCAACGCGATTACAAAACGTCCAAATTACACGGATTGCCCTTGTGTTCAGATCTCCCCCCGTTCGCTATAAATACACAACCCCCAATTTCACGGTCGACAGACAAATCCTTTATCTCTTCTTCTTCCCCTTTGCGTTTCTGCAGATCCCTCAATGGCGAAATCCGCCTCCCTTCTCCTACTCCTCTCCATTCTCACCATCGCCGCCACCACCAGCGCCGCTCGTAACGGCGGAGCTTCCAATTTCATCAAATCGAAGTGCAGCGCCGCAACTTACCCTGACCTCTGCGTCCAATCCCTCTCAACCTTCGCTTCCACAATCCAACAAAACCCTCGCCAATTAGTCCAAACCGCCCTAGTCGTGAGCCTCTCACGCGCTCAATCCACCCGATCATTCGTCTGGAAAATGACGAAGTTCAGTGGCTTGAAGAAGAGAGAGTATGCGGCCTTGAGGGATTGTATGGAGGAGGTCGGCGACACCGTGGATCGCCTAAGCAAATCAGTCGAGGAACTGAAGCGCGTTAGCGGATCGAAGCAGAAGGACTTCCAATGGCACATGAGCAACGTGGAGACTTGGGTGAGCGCTGCCATGACCGACGAAAACACTTGCTCCGACGGATTTGCCGGCTCGGCGCTGAACGGAAGAATTAAGTCTTCGATCAGAGCTCGCATCGTGGATGTTTCTCGAGTCATAAGCAATGCGTTGTCTCTGATTAACAAGTACGCTGAAAATGAAAGTTAGAGATGTGGTTTCAGGTTCTTCGAATCCCTACACTGCTTCTGCGTCTGAAGATGAATTAGATGAATCTGTCAAGAGTTTGATGTATATTAAGAGAGCTTTTGAGTGTTTTGAAGTGGTAAATGCAACCATAACGATGTAGTGCTTGCTCTGTTTTTGGGTATTCTCTGTGCAACCGTAATAGATACTCTTAGTTTCGGTTTTGTCTTAAACAGAAAAGTTTTAGCTAATTACTCTATATTTCTGGGTTTATCCTTTTCTTTTCTTTGTTATTATCATATATGGATGTGTATTCCTTGTCACAATAAAAAAAATGTAAGCATTGTGATGTGTGCCTAAGCCACTCAGCATTATAATTAGTAAACATTATAAACAAGGCTTTGGTTTTACACTTCTTTAGTGCTTGTGTATATCTACAAAACCCTTTTGATTGATTTTTTACCAAACTTCCTTTATAAGTTCAACTTTACCAAAATTATACTATGATTACACTTCCCACTTTTACCAACATCCATCAGCTTAAAATCATTAAATAATATATTGTTTTATCTTAATACAAATATTTATATCTACCTAATACTTACATTTTGATTTATGCCATTTTTGTCGGACTTTTTTTTTTTTTTTTTAAATAATCTTTTTCTATCAAGACATTATTTTGGATTCTATCTTTGAAACGGGAGGAAAAAAAAATTAAATGTCCACAAGGAGGACAGCATAGTAGGGCCCTCTCCATTCCTTGATTGAAGGGCTGGACATATCCAAAATAAAGAATAAAACAAAAAAAAATCAGTGGAAAAGTCCAAAGGGATAAACACCGCATGTGAGTTTGAATCTATAGAAAGCTGTCTTTCATTTTTTTTTTTTTTTAAATTACAATTAACACTCATAATATCTCTATTTCTCTCATTTGTACCAAAATTGTCCTTTAATATTACATTATAGTCTTTGGAATTACGAGCATTTGCTCCAAATCACACCACTCCCATGGTAAAAGAACTACAGAGTTCAACTTATATGAGTTACTTTATGGGAGCTTCAAACCATCAATGCTTAGCTTCCATCATTGGGCAAGCGAGAGGGTAACCGATCTTGATTTCCTCTCTATTCAATATTTGAGTCTATATGTGAGATCTCACGTTAGTTAGAGAGGAAAATAAAGCATTCTCATCTCTCTAGTAGACATGTTTTAAAACCGTGAGCCTGACGGTAATACTAACGGGCTAAAATAGACAATATATGCTAGCTGTGGACTTGAGCTGTTATAAATGATATCAGAGCCAAACCCCTGGTGGTGTGCTAGTGAGAACGTTGGGCCCTAAAGAGGTGGATTATGAGATCCCACGTTGGTTAGAGAGGGGAATGAAACATTCGTCATAAGAGTATGAAAACTTCTCCCTAATAGATGCGTCTTAAAACCTTTAGCCTGACGGTAATACTACCGGGCTAAAGTAGACAATATATGCTAGCTGTGGACTTGAACTGTTATAAATGATATCAGAGCCAGACACCTGGTGGTGTGCTAGTGAGAACTTGAGCCCTAAAGAGGTGATTATGAGATCCCACATTGGTTGGAGAGGGGAATGAAACATTCGTCATAAGAGTGTGAAAATTTCTCCCTAATAGATGCGTCTTAAAACCGTGAGACTAACGACGATACGTAACAGGCTAAAACAAACAATATTTGCTAGTAGTTGGCTTGGGCTGTTACAAATAGTATCAGAGCCAGATTTCAAGCAATGTGTCAATGTCCGCTCCAAGGGAGTGGACTGTGAGATCTCACATTGATTGAAGAGGGGGACAAAACATTTCTCTCAAGGGTGTGGAATCGTGAGACTAACGACGATACGTAACGAGCCAAAGCAAACAATATCTACTAGCGGTAGACTCAGGCTGTTACACTATCTAACCTACAAATTTCGACGCTCACTAAATAGGATTAATATGTATCTTCTCGGTATCCAAATATAAATAAAAGTTGTAATTAATAACTTAGAATTAAATATATTAAGAGAAAAAAAAAAGTGTTGATATTATGAATTCTTTTAATTGATATAACATAAAGTTAGTAAATTAACTTTACTCAAAATCCAAAGCATACAATAATAATGACTCAATGTATAGTGTAAAGGGAAAAATGACAACCTCTCCCTCTCTCTCTTTCTAATATAAAGAGAATGATGATTCAAATTCCATAATGAAATTATATTATATT